TTTGACAAAGCCATAGAGGTAGTAGTGGCAAATGGATGACAGGGCTTTCTTCTGTCTCCCAAGAATGTTGGAAAACCAGGAGGATAAATAAGTCTAAGAGGAGTGGTCATGCAACAGTTTTCACAGCCTTAGCAATGCCAGATCACTGCTCAAAACGCAACTCTTCATGACAGCTGTTACTGTAAGAAGCTTAAACTGCCTCACTCCTATTCATCTGTATTCAGGATGCCCACAATGTGATGCACAGATGCAGACGCCTTTAGCAGCGATGAAGTCTTGTGTGTGCATACACTGCACTGCAGGCATGTGCCGTTTTCTGCTGAGTCACTGTGGGGCTGCTGCCAGTCCTACAGAAGCTTACACAGGCCCCTCTCATCCTGCTCTTTGCAGATGAACCTTCTTGCACATGCCTTCTTGGCTCAGATCGTTTACTCCAGAGACAGGCCCGGCTAGGCTCTCTAGAGCAAATTTAGCAATTCGTTCCTTAAGTTCAGCAAAACGCTGCACAGATGTGCAAATGATTCTGAAATGACCGAGACCATGAAATGAAGTCATAGTTTCTAACTGTAAATTAGCGATCCTCAGTTTCATTCACTTTGGGTCAATCCTGTCTCTGTTAACCCCTATCCATTCTGATGTGGATTAAACCACTTAACTGCAAACCCGTTCTGTGAAAACTACTGCATATATGCAAACTATTGGCTAAATCATTAAGATTTTTTTTCTATAGTTGATTACACTAATTATAAATGAATGATACAGTAGTAGTCTAAATTATTGATCGGGCACTTAAAGACTCTAAATCTGTGAGCACAGATTATTACATATGGATGCAGAGACTAGAATGGAAATTTAAAGATCCCAGTTCAAAACCTTGTTGGTAGAGAGACCCTTAGGCAGAGCAACAGAAAAATTAAACAGCATGAAATCATTATAAGCAGCACTTTTTCAAAAGAATGGCACCGTATACAGCACAATGCCCTTAATCAATAGTGGGGCATTGCTTTGGAGAGCCTGATCAAGGGACAAGAGCACTACCTACTGGTCCACCAACACCACATACAGCAATGACTTGGTTTTCCTTAGAGGTCCCTCATCCCAGTAGTGATTCTGAGATCTGATGAGCTCAGGCTACAACGGTTGTAATGTTTTTGAAAAGCTCTAGACAACAGAACAACAAACACTTTTCCCCCCATTATGCTCTTATTTAGGAGGCTGTTCTCATTGTGACTGTAAAAATGCAGCAACAAAATAATATCACAATAATTATCACCTCAAAACTGTGAATTGAGTTTTCCCTGTTTTATATCACCTTCAACATCTATGAAGTCAAAAAAGTAACAAATCCTCAATGAATTTGGTACACTGAGAGAAAGGCTGAGCCATTTCTAGTCACTGACCTCTCACACTTGCTGAACTTCAGTCCCCTGGGTCTGTCAACACAGTGCAGACCAGGGTCTGACAGATGCCCGAGAAGAGAGGGTGGTCTTTGAATGTGGCCGGGTGGTGTTAGAAATTGACAGGAGAGCATTAGGACACGTTGGCATGAAAAATAACCTTTGTTGTGGGTACAATAATAAAGCAGTGTTTTATAAAGAGATTAAATAGCCTAGCAACAGACATCTAGGTATAAGAATAAGTGAAGTTTCATTTTGTGCCAAAAAATAAAAAGAAATGTTTTGACTGTTGAGCTCTTTTCAGATATGGAAGGCGATTAAGTGGCCTGAGGTATACGATTACGGTTTTGAAATGATCAGATCGTATAATGACATGCCGTATGTTCTAAGAAGTGTCAGAATGGTTTATTGTTGGATGCTGATCCAATTCATCTGCTGCCTGCATGTGAGTTTACTACCAATATTTGCTATGCCTGAGAACAAATAAATGTGGATAAAAGAGAAGGAAAAGACTTACAAACCCCCTTTACGGCCAACCATCTTCAATTGTGAGAGATGAATAAATCAGACAGCAAAAGCAAACCATAGTGGTCACAGAATCAGATTAACGCTGATACAGTACTCAAGAGCAACACAGAGAAGTAGACACACAGCAGAGATAAGGTAGCCAGGCAGAGTTAACAACACTAAAGCATCACTAGTCTACCTCATTCATGTCTGGTTTTCCACAAACCAGCTTAAAACAATAGGCCTAATGAGCCCCGATGCTCAGGCGACAATTGCCAAAGTAGTGGTTAGGCCTATCCATCTAAGATGGAGCATCTGCATTCAGGAGCACCAGACTTTCTCGAAGGGCACTAGAATCACTGCAGAGAAGATCTTACTGATCTTACAGCCCCTGCCATCACTACACTGGACCTACAAGAGCAGAGCTCAATCACTCCAGCACCGGAGCAAACACAGAGATCGAACTGGCAGTGGCAGAGCCTGCCCCTTCGGTGTGCTCTCTTCATGAGTTCATGAGATCGCCAGTGGACGGTTTTATTTCCTAAACTATGCCGTGCTCCTTTTGCAGCATTCAATGGCTTCTCTGCAGTGGACACTCTACTTATTTCTGTTTCGGGAAACAGGGTCCGGGTGCAAGGAAACACGAGATCCGTGACAATTTGAGAATGCTTGAGAAGCCATCCAAATTCGACTTTGCCATACAGAGGCAAAGCGAGAGATGAGGACGTCCTTAACCAATGACATCACCGCTGCCTGAGCTTTCCAGAGGTTGTCAGGTGGGGGATAAATGGCATGTCTGCGGCTCCTGAACCGGTCTCAGCAACACGCCTTTGCAGATGTACAGCTCGTATGCCCTACAGACAGTTCCATTTATAACTACGACATCATCCCATTTTCAGGTTCCAGATGAGGCAAAGGGAAGTTATGATGTTTTACACTTATTTTTGAATCAGGTGGGTTGTGGGAAGGAAATCGTCTTCTAGATTAACTCAGCAGCAGCCACGGCTACATTGAAACAGCAACAAAAAAAACATGCAGGCATACAAACACTCATTTAGCGATTGTGTGGCATGCAGGGGCAAGAATTAGGAAAAGCAACGTGCATGATTGCAGCCAGAAAACAGCACTCGTGTGCCAAGCGTCTGGCCAGCAAGAGACAATTGAAAAAGCAACATAACTGGCTTGTGCTGGAGAAAAACAAGCATACTAGCTGGACTGAATTCCTGTGCTACGTTCCTGTTCAAACGACTCATGAATATAAGAATAAAGCCAAATGAGCTTTTAGCATTTTACAGGTGAGTCTGGAATCAAAGAATACAAATACTTTCCCCATGACCTGCTCCCCTCAACTCTAAAGCAATCTAGTTCTTCTCATCAATGGGTGTTCTCTGTAATTATTTTTCTTGTTATAAACCTAGGACTTTAATCAAGCAGGAGTGATAAAACTTGTAACACTGGTTATCAGTGGCTATCATGCGCTTTACTCCAAGAAAAGAGTCCTATTACTCATCAACCACTAGAGCCTGATACAGATGACCTCAGGGGAAGGGGAGGCCAGGGATCTGTTCTTGTAGCACTGCGGGGGTTCAGAGCTCTGATATCTGCTGCCTTTCCCCTTTGAACTGGTTCTCCAACATATCTCACCTGTCTCCAAGCCCGCTATTTATTAACGCCCTGTCTTATCAGAGCGTTCGCAGAAATGAGGAGCCTAAGTCAGGTTATGAAATGCATCTCGCTCAACAAGGCGCAGACAAAATATACACTTTTCGTGACTTCATAAGCAGACAGGCGTAAGATGATACAGTATTTAAAGAGGCAAAAATGACAGAGGATCAGTTTCTTTCTTTTGACTACGATCTGTCATCGCACCGGTGAGGAAGCCAATATGATTATAGTGCCACCAAGAACGGTGGTCCGTTTTTTTCTGAAAAAAAAAACGCGAGAACACTGAACGTCAGCTTGTGTTAAGAATAGTATACATTTACACAAATGATAGATTTTAGAAAGAAAATAATTTGGGTAACAGCCCAGAGTTCTGCCTACCTACCTACATGGAAATCAATTCAAACCATCCAATGGCTCCCCCCCCCAATGACAGGTTTTGAAACAGGCAGGAGAAATTCACCCAGGGGAGCAGTTTACCACCATCCTTGATGGAAATTACTGTTGTATGCACTTTCAGTAATTAACAGTATGTACATATAAAACACCATGCACGCCTATATACTTGTAACAAAATTCCGAATTTGATGAAGATGAGGAGAATCAACGTTCGAAAATTTAATTTCTCTTGTTTTGTAACAAACCAATAACACGCAATCTCAGCTGGATTCCTGCTAACACAAGCGCCTGTAATTCTACATTTCCCAATTACTTGGCTCACATGTCATACACACATAAACGGTCTCCGATCCTGTGAATCAAGTATTTTCAAACTTCCCCATTTTAGATGCAGAGCAGTGAAAGAGCACAACAAACACACGTCTATGGGAAATTATTCAGAGTGTGGCAGCTCTCCGCGAAAAAGTCATCCCGGATACTAGACAGTAATGTTTAGGCGAGACAGCTCCCAGAACAAATGGAGAAATTTGCAGTGGCATTTTAGATTTACAACACAGAGCAGGAACAGGAGAGCTTTGGAAAGTGCTGCCTCATGAACCGTCGTGCTGCACTGATGACGGGTCTAATTTAAGAAAGAGCCCGATATTAAAGTACGGGCTGTCGCAACAAATGGGACACGCTGTGCGTTAAACACAGTAACCCAGTATGTCCCACTCGGAGTTACCAACTCTTTCAGCTGACCGGCGGCACGACAGGGCTCCTGTACAGTGCAGCATCTGCTGGGCTGCCACAACTAAGGAGAACGAAACGTTTGAAAACGCTCCGAAACAATGTTTTCTTCAGATGAGCTGTGGCGAGACAGCACACCCCTCCGTGCACTCGGTGTGGACAGACAGCGTTGAAATAAGCCGTGCGTTTTTGCAAAGAAATGAGCTCTACGACACTACACCACTCTCTGTGTGTGTGTGTGACAGCCCGATAATACGCGTACTAACGGCACGCAGGCAGCGACAAAGCCCAAGTGGAAAATCTTACCTGCTAAAATCGCCTTGCCAGGGTGAGTCAATTTCGTTTTCCCCGCCGGGGCAGCCGCTGCCAGGCACTGAGGTCGGCGGAACGGGCTGACAAAACTGGGGTTCCCAGACATATTTGAAAAACAAGTGCTGGAACAGCTAGTAAAGGTGGAAAGCCTGTTTTTTTTTTCTTTGGCGATGCTTTAGGAAATTACTTTCCGGTGACCGTCATGCAGAGCAGCTGAGCGAGCGAGCTGGTGGGAAGAGAAGGGCCCTCACTGGAGGCTGTGGTTCATGGGGACTAGCACCCTGACCAGCGAGGAACGGGGTTGTTTTCTGTCCCACTGACAGTCTGTGATAATCACGCACAGAGCCTGGTGGGTTGTGAGGCGCTTTATACTGTGTTTCTTTACGGTCCGTCCCCTCATGGTTTAGGGAGGGGCCTTTTTTTTCGCTCCACGTAGCGTCACATCCTTGACAAACAACAAGTCCGTCCGTTTAAGGTAGAACGGTGCTTGGCCGGGAGGAAGCGAAGCACACGACAGCCGGCAGTCTGTCTTACAGACCAAGTACAGCCGGATTTAATGTTAAAAAAAAAACTGCCTGCTGCTGTTGGTAAAAACAAAGTTGCCTTAACAGATGACAGACTGCTTTAGAAAATATTCCATACACAGTTCTTCACCCCCAAACCGGACAAGTAGGCTGGTGTCGCAGAATTCTGCTGCAGTGTTGCTATTGCCACGCTGCAAACTTTCCACAACACTTTCCCCATACTGTACAGCCGCGCTCTGTATAATTGTACTGGGTGTTTTTTTTGCAAATCATTGAAGGCCTACTTAAACACGCTTTCAACTCCTTTTTAAAAGTCACGGTTTATCTATGCTACGCGTATCATGTTTCTTTAAAAAAGAATTTTAAATCGTGAGCTGTTAATTGCAGTACCAAAGACGTGAAGCTAGTTAATAGAGACTTAATGGAGAAAGTTCCACACGAATTCCATTGATTTGCGATCTTTGCGATCTTTTTTTTCTATTCTTTACTTTGTTAGCATTTGAATTGCTATGAATTTACACGTGGTCGGTAACTTGGAAGCCTTTCACCAATATCATTTTCTTCACTTCATCACAATAGATTAAATCATTAAAGCTAAAATAATTCAACCAAGGCTGTTTTTTGGGGGGTACGAATGCCATGCATAAATCATCAATACAAATTCCAAATGCTGCTGTGCTCATGAATGAAACATTTAATTCCGATGATAACCATAGTCATCGCTTTATTTCACAGAACTATAGTAATCACAACTGGAGGACATCACAAAAAAGCATGACTTAGAACTGTAAGACGTCACTAGGTTTATGAGGAAAATGACACTTTTCTAGAGGGTACACTGATACTGCATTGAACAGAAATTAGCTAAATTGATTATTTTGATGAACAGGGCAATATTCCTGCAGAGATTGGACAGATATCTCTTCACTGGCCTTGTAGCCTTGGATCCCACTTCATTCCTGCTCATCCCACAAATTGTTGTTGGGCCTCACGTCAGGAAAGTAGGGAGTCTACAGCATCGTTGTCACACTCTCCTCCAGCAAGGCAGCCGCCATTATATAGAGTTCTGTAAGCAGCATGAGCATGTGCAAGCTCAAATTACTGCAAACTGAGCTCTGCTGTAACTCTCAGACCTCCCCATAGATCACAATAATAACAATTCCTTACACTTATATAGCGCTTTTCTGGAGACTCCACTCAAAGCACTTTAAAGATAATGGGGATCCCCTCCACCACCAGTGTGCAGCCCCACCTGGATGATGTGCCAGTCCTCTCCCCACACACCAGCTCTCAGTGTGGAGGAAAGCAGAGTGATGAAGCCAGTTCAGAGATTGGGATTATTAGGAGGCCACGATTGGGAAAGCCCAGAGGGAAATTTGGCCAGGACACCAGGGTAACACCCCTACTCTTTTCGAGTCAGTCCTGAGATTTTTAATGACCACAGAGTGTCAGGACCTTGACATTGGTTTTACGTCTCGTCCAAAGGACGGCACCTTTTTACAGTATGGTGTCCCCGTCACTATCCTGGGGCATTAGGACCCACACAGACCACAGGGTGAGCGGCCCCTACTATTCTCTCTAATACCTTTTCCAGCAGCAACCTTAGATTTTCCCCAGGAGGTCTCCCGTCCAGGTACTGGCCAGGCTCACACCTGCTGAGCCTCAGTGGGCTGCCAGTGGTGAGTTGCAGGGTGTTATAGGTCATGCGTTGATTGGTGGTCTCTCAGCTCCGGGCCTGTCTTTGATGGTACCACGTTCGACTGAAGCACCTAATCCAGCCAGGGAACAGAAGTGCACTTAGTCCAGGTTCCACGCGCCAATGGAGAAGTGTAGAAACGTGCAGGCGCTGTATCGATCTCCTGCCAGGAGGAACATAGAATGTGAGCTCTTTCTGGGATTTTCTTTTCCCCCCACCTGGACTAATTACACATCCATCTGCCTCTTGGGGTGATCTGATCAGTCCTGAACAATCTGCCCATTTAAATATTCTACAACTTCAAAGGATTATCACTGAGGTTTAAGATCAACATATCTATAATATAGGAACAAAAAAAGGTTAAGCCCATGCTACAAATTAGAAACAACATCTCAGCTGTTGAGGCTTCTTCAGGTGCCAAGGTTCAACAGCTGAGACTGTTTCTTCTATTATTAAGCATGGAGTTTCCATTTCCTTTGAAGCAAATGCACAATGATCCACAGCTCCCCATGATACAGTATACAAGATGTACAGTACATAAAACATGAGCACCTATCATTGTTCTGGCTTATTTTTACATTTCATAGTGCTTTATGAAGTTTACAAATTCTGCGGCAAGTGTGCATGTAACTGTCTTGAGGGGAGGGCAGTGAATAGGATCCTCATTTTAAATTATTTGAACAGTTTTGGTTATACAGTACAAACACATAATACATCTTTACAGCATTACAAATTTGTAACACCTACCCAATTTATTATTTAAACAGCTAACCATTACAACAATCTATAGGTGGAAGTGAAGTTGTCTTTTTAGAAAAAAAAAACATTGCTACTAATATTAAAATACATGTAACATCCCCCAATAGAATGGCAAATCAAACAAAATAAGTAAATCAAATGTATACACTATGCAGTTAATTCAAAGCATATTTATTCATGTACGGTACATTATAATTTAGTACTTTATAACTAACCATTGCACATAAAAGGTAGTACTTCCCTTCCATCTGTGATCAGAACAGTCACAGCTACCTGTCCCATAAGCACAGGGCGGACGACAAGACCGCACTCTAGACAGGACGCTTGTCCATCGCAGGGTCTGAACACACACTGGACAGGACGCCTGTCCATGAAATGGTACAAACACATACACAGAGCCAATTTAGAGGCATCGGTTAACCTAACCAGCAGTATTTGGGAGGGGGAGGAGACCAGAGAACATGCAAACCCCACCCAGAACACCATCAGGTCCTGAACCAAACACAGGACTCAAGATCTGTACAGTAGCAGCGCTAATCACCACACTGCTGTGCTCTAACTTTTCACTTGAGGGGGAAAAAAAAGCAAATCCATAAGACTCTTTAAAGCACATGACTGAAAGCTTTTGCCACATGTCCAGCAACCTCCCTCCACTTTCATCTATAGAGTAAAAAAATGCACAGGACCAAAAGAGCAGGTGTAAACTTTATTCATCCTCCAGAAGGTATTACTTGTGTGGCCAGGAATGGAAAAGCCTTACAGCTCACATTTTTGCTAAATGCTCCCAGGTCTATCCCAAAAACGTCTGGACAACACGTGCAGCAAGGGACACAAGCCAGGACTCTGCAGCTCCGAGCTGCGGTTTTCTTTAGCATCCCCTCTCGTACCCATGCAAAGAATCGGTTTATTCATCTCCCCAGGGACAAGGTCGCCATATTTAAAAATACAACAAACACCTGTGTGGACCCACACTTTCTCATTGTTGCTGCTTTCAAAAATAAATCAGACATTTTTGGGCAAGCTGAAGTGCTGGAGAAAGATTTTATACTTTTTTTGTTTTGTTCCATTTTTTAAAAAAATTACACTTAGGACTATGACCATACACTACAGACACACGCCATTTTACAATATATTGGACTTAGCTTAATTAGGAATAGCACAAGGTTCATTACCATAAATTATACAATATTTTCAGTACATTAAAATGATTATAATTTATTGGAAAAAGTGGCACACTTTTATATATTTCCACCTCTCTTTGCGTTCTTCAAAGCTGTTAATAGTGAGAATTGCAGTTCACCTGTCTTTCATGTCAACCCATTTTGCTGGTTACTTACCGAAGCAAAACTGCAGCTGTTTAACAATACTCTATAGATGGTCTTTACAAAACACTGGTAAAGTACCAGACACCTCTCTTCAGAAAATGGGCTGTCTTTTGCATTGTTGTAGCACTGTACATTAATTTGGCAGCACATGCACAGACACCAGTACATTTTATTCTTCAATTTTCATAATCATTACCTATCTCCCGTATTAAATTCTGTACCGCTATTTGTTAATACAAATCTAAAGCCATCAACAACACCCACCTTTAAACTAGTTTGACTAAAAACAATAGGGAGGAAAGGATCAAAGTGTAAATGTGTCAACCTTCAGTCATAAAGAATACAGAACGGGATTCAACCAGATTTGAAGCAGTCTTTTGTAATTCATGTTTTGTAGTTAATATTACATAATCTCAGAACTTGAACTAGAGGGTTTTTCTCATGAAAAAGTGAGTCTAGTTATACAAGTCAGAGGGCTTTCAGGAGGCTACATTCAATAGAAATATAAAATTCTAGCGTTTTAAGATGCAAAGACTGACAGTATATTTCATTTTAAACCACAGGCTGAAACTATTTAAACAAATGGTTTTTTTTTCACCCCAAAGAAACACTGACCTTATCCTCCCTATCTGATAGCAGGTAACAGACTTACAGTACACGTGTAGCTAAGAGATCACTCTTTTTCCAACATTGACACCTTCTCGCCTCTACATCAGTGCTGTAGTTCAGACTTAAAAGACATTGATTTAAAAAAAAAAAGCTGCACGTTCCTTGAAAAGTTGAAATGGAACAGTAATTATACTGGGAGTAATAAATATCGACAATTACAAGCTGTCCTTTGGAGCGACCTTCATGCTACGCGAGGGATGGTGTTCAGCTAAAACAGAAGAGACTGTGCCTCCGGAGTCAGATGTTTCGCAAGGAGGGCGAGAGGGACGGTCCAGCAGTAAGGCTCTCTTATTCACATGTTGAATCCATAGGTGGGCTGAGGAAAGCCTGGAGCTGCGTAGCTATACGGTGCGTATGCAGGCTGTGGGGGTACTGTAGTTGGGCCGGCGGTGAGCATCAGCTGCTGACCTGCGAAGAACAAACAGGGCACGTCACACCACTGGGGTCCCGTGGTCCTGCATCCTTACCCGTTACTGATAACCAGCGAGGCTCTGGGGCAGCAGCAGCAAGAAGTCAGTAAGGGAAGAGGCCATGACCAGGAACTTTCAGTTCCCTGTGCAATGGGCTGCAAAGTGGAATAGGCCTTCGTAATTTAGACAGCAGGACAGCGGGGCCGTACCAAACACGATTGGAGTCGGTTCGGCCACTTCCTCATCAGTCTTCCTCAAGCTCTCGGATGCATCTAGTTTATCCACCTACAAACCAATGAACAGGCAGCGTTTAACAGACAGGCACGCAGAGAGCTATCAGACAGAGACACACAGGCATCAGTGGAGGAAAAGAATCAAATAACTGTCTTGCACATCCTGTTAAGGATTGAGAAACTCTGTCACTGCTTTTAACAGCCAGAAGAATATGAATAGTTTCAGGTAACCTCACAAACAAACAAAAATCTACATTTATAAGACATATTTGATTCTTTTCAGAACAAACAAAACCTTTTGGACAAATGGCTTTCCCTGGTACTTTGTTTAAATGCTTAGGCCTTGCAATCTTATAAGGGTTTTAAGGATTGACAGAATACTCTGTAAGTTACATTTAGTACAGTTATGCATCTCTCCAGATGTTTCAGGTTTTGTTTACTTTAATACCGGGAACATAGCTGGGAGCAAAACCCATGCAATTGTGTGGATTATGAACTTTACCTCCATGTGTACGAGCCGATTCCGCTAAAACGTCCGGTTTTACATACATGACATGACATTTTTGGGATACCAAGCTTTAATCTTGGAATTGGGACACATTAATCTCAAGTTATTTTTTTTCTTCATTTTTTGCATGTCAAAAACCAACAGGCCATGCCAAAACACGGCAATGTATTATGCACCAGCAATAGAAGCTACATCTTAAAGCACAAAATCTTAAAAATACATTCTTCAAGAAAAAAAAAACTCAAGCATGCTTCTGTTGTACATAGAGATGTGGACCCTTGCATTACGTAGCCATTCCTTCATCGCTGTCATTAAGAATTTACAGAAACATCTCAATGACACTACAGTACGTATTTATTCTTTCTGTACTGCAACTGGATGGTGTTAAAACATCTAACCCAGATACATGCTTTTATAATATACCTAAAAGCCTCAGTGTAAATGTGTAAATGTCACTAAAACCTTAGTGCCCTAGCTAAAAAGGCATGAAAATTTGCAAGCAATGAGTTTTTTCTAAAGCCATTAACAAAAATACATACTGCTTTGAGAGAAAAAGTGCGTAACTTAAAATACAAATAAGCAAGGTTTCTGATGTATTCAAGAATAATTAGGCAAGATACACTATCTTTGTATGCTACATACTGTACCAAAAGATAATAGATTTAAAAACTAACTGATATATTAATATATAACCACAACCAATGGTTTATTTTTTCACTCCATATCTCTGATATCAAGGTTTAAGAAGCATTGTTTAGGTCACTGTTGGTAAGGCACTGTTTAAGGATTTTAAGCAATGATTAAGAGAAACTTTTAACCTTGTTATACTGTATGTGTTAATCTAACTTTGATTATTATTTGATTATAAGAAGCTTGAAAGAAACTACAACTTTCTTTACAGGGGATGGGGGGGCTGATGTGAAAACGTGTTTTCTTACGAACAGTAGGGTCTCAACATCTGTGAATCTTAACATTTGCTTATTTGCAAGACCAGGATCGCGAGATGAATCTAGTGAGTGAGCCTCTCCTTGCCTCCTGCCCAAGTACCCCCTACTCAGCATCTGCATCTCAGACTGGTCTTGTGTTTAGATTCTAACGAAGGCTCCTGGTTTTGTGTTAGCAGCGTGGGGAATGACAGGCTGGAGGTGAGTTTACTCACTGACAGTTTCATTATGGTGCAGCGTGCTAATCATGGAGGCAGACAGTGAAAGTGTAGGCATCCGTTGGACACAGAGGAGTGATTCATGTAATTTATTTTAGCTGATTACTTCCAACTACATATTTCAGTTGATCAATGCTATCTTATTTAACTTAAAGCCAATGCATTAGCACTTTCATTACCATATAAGGGAGGGTTGCTTATGCTATATATACTACTGTAGTACATTATGAGATGGTATAAGAGTGGACATGGTTATATATGAATTTGGCTATTTGCAAGTTTTCTGCATGAACCCTCATCAATGTTGAGACACTACTGTAATTCATGTGAAGACCACAATTTCATTTTGACACCATAATTTTAATTTAAAAGCAATATAATTTCTGTCTTTAAATGAAGCATCAGAAAACCACATTATCACTGCTACACAACACTGAGCTAAACATTTTGAAGTAGATGCTTTTGGTGAACGAGTGTTAGTGCAATGCTCCATATAAAGGTTTAGATGATCACATTTAACTCCAGTACATGTTATCTAGGTGCAAGCAAGCTAGAATTAGATATGTTAGAGGGAAATCAGAGTTAGGCATTCTCCACAGAAGGGACTACTTCTAGGTTCCTACATCAGAAACCTAGGTCTATGTTACAACAGAAAAAAGATTTAAAAAATAAAAGACAGAGACCGTCACCTTCTCCGCAATCTCATCAACCTGTAAGAAAATTCAGAGTTGAAACTTCACATCTTTAAAATTTAAAATTGACAGGCTGATTTTGAGCAAAAAAAAATATTTTAATTCACGGGCTGCATTTTGGGGGCAGATTTTAATTTTATTTTAGACTTGCAGGCCCAGTCATGGCTTGCATCACTGTGGGTGGAGAGGGAAGGGACAGTCAGAGGGCTGGCTGAAAAATACTTCTGCAGACTCAAAGCAGCAGGAGATCATCAGAAAAAGAAACAGAAAAAAAAACAGATTATGATTTGGTTATAGTTTTTATGACGTTGATATTTTTAGCAATTAAGCCATAAATAATAAGAAAAAAAATACTTGTATGTATAATACATTTGCAGCTTAAAATATTGATGTAAATGTTTGCATTTTGAAATGCTTGCTAATCACATTAAAAGATGACTACTAAGAATTTCATTAATAATTCTACTAATATTTAACAAAAAAATGACTGCTGCTCTCAGATTTACTACAATGAAAGGTTAGATTTTTTCAAAAAGTCCAGTCAAACACCACTTTTAAAAGAGCAATAAATTAATTAAATAAAACAATCTGTAAAAAAATGTAGCATGCTAAAAAAAAGTTGTGCATGCTCCCCTAACATGTCTAAGCCTGCAGTACTACTGCATATATTAAATTTTAAGGGAAAAATATTTTTTTTCCTTTATTAAAAAAAGCTTAGCTTGACTATTTACTATATATATTTACTATGAATCCCAAAATATTTCAAATCTGCTTGTAAAACGAGCTGGATCTCTGCTTTCCTATTCCAGGGTGTCTATGTCTAGTGTTCACAGCACTTACTTTGGTAAGGTATTCCCTCATCACTTGGATAAAGTAAGGCATGGCGAAGTCCATGATGTCGTGTCTCCAGGCCAGCTCCAGGACGACATCGGGGTGCAGCAGGTCGTAGGAGGTGAAGAGACAAGCGGCGAAACACTCCTTTTTGCCTTCCTCCAGAAACCACTGCAGCAGCTTCTCTGCCAGCTCGGTGTCCTTGGACTCGGCTGTGTACTGCATCGCGTCCTGGTTGCCAAGGCCACAACAAAGCAGGGTTTCTACGAGGCAGCGCCATCTACTGCAGAGTACGGGGCAGTTCTGCGAAAAACTGGGAGATACGCTGCGGGTGGGGACGAAAACTTATTGCAACTGAGCTCCCATCCACCCATTGTCTAACCGCTTCTTCCAGTTCAGGGTGGAAGGGGAGCCGGAGCCTGTCCCGGCAAGCAACAGGCGCAAGGCAGGGCACATCATGGATGGGACGCCAATCCATCGCAGGGCAGACAGACACTCACACCAGGGTCAATTTTCCCCGAAGCGAATTAACCAGCCATCATGTCTTTGGACTGTGGGAGGAAACTGGGGCATCCAGAGGAAACTCTATGCGACAGCACCCCAGGAACTGAACCCAGGACCCCGTCTTTGCGGGACAGCACTACTAACTTACTGGAAGGTAAGCTCCCATGTGTTTCATTTTTCACGGGGACGTTACACAAGTGTGAACTCTCCCGAGTGCTGTGGCTTAAATCTCCAGAGAGATCTGACAGAAGAAAAAGCTCCAGGAGAGGCAGCTAACTCCACAGACAGCCACCTCTCTCGTTCTGAAAACGGCCGGAGCTGTTGCCCACCTTGTACAGACGGTCTTTCTTGCACAGCTCCACGCTTTGCTTCCAGCGGTTGTTCCCTTTGTACAGGTAAGCAGCAATACGCCTGAACTCGATCAGTTCGTGCTTCTCTAGTCTTTGTGCGAGGCTGATGTTGTCAAAGTTATCGTAAGCATCAATAGACGCCCTTAAACCCTAGAGGAATGATAAAAGGCATTTTGACATTCTTAAAAAACAGCATTGTCAACATACCAGTGGTGAGAAATCTTCTAAGACAGAAAGCAAATCAAGTTAACCATTGAACCCTAGTGAATCAAACAGATCGAGCAGCCTCTGGCGGACTCTACTGAGAACTGATAATCAAGGACCTCTTGTTCAATCAGACTGTACTGTACATTTCCAGCGTTACTGTCTGGCAGAAGGCAGCTGCACTGTGTATAAATTTTAAGCTGTTTATCCTGTATTCAATAAGCTAATGATCAGGCCAGGACTGGTCTCATATGGTCTCTCATTTACATCTTTCTGTGGTCTTGACAGATTAACGATTTGCCGGTAACGTTTGTGGTAAGTATAGTCACTTTCCAGCATAACAACTACATTTCTTACCACCGATATGCTGTAGAGCAGTTTATTCTGTTTGTGTACAGGGTGCATTAGTAGCAGAGCTTTGTCTGTAGTATAATATCCACAGATCTGCACATCTCCATTTTAGGAGCAAAGATTATACTTATTATTTTACACAGATTCCGAGCAGCTTTTGGAAATTTGTTGTGGACAACCACACAATTCTGCAAAATAATTAGCCTTTCGGAACACTTGAAAAAATGCCCTGTTCTTCTATGCACTTTGCTCTTTTCTTTGTTAAAATCACACCTTTCTTTCCTGCACACTACTGTCAATTTATGAACATGGTTCTTGTTCAGCATTCCTTCAATTTAACACACTGAGAATAACAGGCAATTCAGAGCCCTTTGGTGAACATTACTGACATCTTTCACACCTCCTGGTAACTGGTGATGGAAACTGCATGTACTGTTTTAGTCACTAACATATGCACATGACTCCAACATGGAACCACATCGTAATTGTTCTGCATGCTGTATTCTGTTTGTGAGCCTAGATGCTCCCAGTATCTGGAGGTGTTTTCAGCCTGCAGAAAGAGTGCTTCCCACATGCAAGACACACTGCTGCGATTTACTGCATGAGGCCCCAGATCTCTGAAAGGGCAAGTATCTTACGTGGGTGAGGAAAATTAAGCACCCAGGAGGCTTGTTCCCATGTGAAGCAATATTTGACCTGCTTAGGGAGAAATCAGATGGTCCCATATATATTTTCAAGAAGAGTATCAACTATCTGCCTGTTTCAAGAAAAAAAGTGTTTATTTGAACTGATTATAGTCATGGACAAGAGACAAAGCCAATCTTGTTTGGAGTCAATCCTTAAATTACCAAATACTATATAATTACCTGAAAATCTTCCTCCTCCGTCAGTAGGTTATTTAAGGCTTCATTTACAGCTTTGTTGTTGTGATTCTGCACTGATCTCAAATAAGGCTTCACAAGCTGCAACTGATTCACCTGGAAATCCCAGTGGAAACACAAAGCAAGTCTCATCTCAAATTCCCCGGGCACAGAAAATTCAAGAGCACAGTTTAGAAAGAAAGCATGTTAGAAGATACTAACATATTTTCAGATATGCAACATCACTCGCATATGGAGTAAGTGTAATATTTGTAATGCCTTCATTAGAAAAAATACATTCTTTTTCTCCTCTCAAGGTAATCTACTGACATATTTTAATGCAAATCGCTGCCTTATTGTTTCATATGAGATGTACAGAGGCAGCTAAAGATCGTTCAAATTATATTATCAGGCATAGCCCTGAGTTGTGTTAATGCTTCCTAGTACTTTTCTTTAGTTCACATGTCCGACATCCACAAACAGCAGCCCGCTACCTTAGAGAAGAAATTGACAGCTCTGGTATGATCCAGTCGAGGGGAGAGCACAGTCAGCAAATCGTTGAGCAGCAGCGGTTTGTAATCCAAATAGAACTGCAGGGCTTTGTAATAGAGCTCAACATTTGCCACCTATTGGGAAGGAAAGGCAAAAAAAAGTCACACAGCTTACTCTGGAGAGGTATATAAAAAGCCAAATCTCTCACACGACATAAAAACAAAATATTCAAATAACATAGCCGGATCGGGATTTCCTATACCTTGGCAATGATGTCCTTGAACTGTCCTTCTTTCCAAGCATCAGTGGGATGATTCATCATGGTTATGATGGCATTATCGTATTCTTCGTATTTGTCATAAAGGAAGACCAGCTCGCCCCACAGATGTGCCTGTTCTGCAGCGCGGAGGACCTGGAAATCAGCGAAAACAAATCGTCAGATCCTTGTTCCACAAACCTGACAACAGCAGAAAGATTCAGGGAAGAAATTCAACATGCATTACGGCACAGCAATAACTCCAAACCTCCCTTGTACAAGACAAGCTTTTGTGATTACGCTATGACATTGACAATATCTGTCCGCCAATCAAAAACAATCTTTCCTACAGTACTGACATACTCAAGTAAACCCAACTTTTGACTGGAGAACGAAACACAAACGGGCTGCCCGGTACTGACCTTGGGAATATTAACTCGGGACCAGAAGAGCTCCAGGTGCTCTCTCATCTTCTGGGGTTTGAACTTGGAGTACAGAATGGCCAGCTCTGTGAACATGCCCATGTGCGCTCGCTCCAGACCCAGAGCCGCCTCCAGCAGTGCGATCAGCTCCTCGAAGTACCCCCGGTCCTGGGACAGAAGCACAACGCGACGCCGTGACACACCTCACCTCCGCACCACTGCTTCGCCAGGCTCCCCAAGAGGCGTTGTTCGTACCTGGTAGTAACAGATCAGCTCCTCCAGCTCATCAGCGTGGATTACGATGTGCAAACCACAAATCTGGGCGAGACGGAACTCCGTCCCATCTACACAGGCGAAGCAGACCTGCGGAACAAGGGCAAACCGATCACTGCGGGACCCTGGCAGCAGTTCTGCTTAGGTACCAACATTTGCTTTCACTGGGAACTTGGGAAACCTTTTCGAGCTAGTTAATTAAGGAATTTAGACCACACCAGATGGGTCCTTACCTCTTTCCAAGTCCTGGTGCTGTTGGCCTTGCGTGCACTGTCCACTGCCGCCTGGTACTCCCCCAAGTGTACCAGGGTGGATGCCAGGCGGGCAAAGTTGGATACGTTGTTGTACAGTAATTTGGCGGCATCATACATACCCTCATCATAGCAGCGATCTCCCACCTGTACAACGAAAACAAATTCGTTTCTTGGCGCTCGGTAGGAATTATCTGACATATTCCAAAAAGGTCAAATATTAACATTAATGCAAACGAAATGCATGCAGAACAGTTTCATTAAAATGAGATTTAATTGCGCTTAATATTTTTAATATATCCCTTGTACCACAAGGTGGCACTAGTCTTTTCTCTTTGCAAGCAGCAAAACCAACTTTGTGCACAATTTCTCTGCTCAGAAAATGTCTCGGTGCTTGTCCAGGGTTCGACCTTCGTTGGATATCAGCCCTGGAGACGTTCTGGTGCACGTAGTGGCTACATGATGAGCTAGCAATGGCAAAGCTGCAGTTTCCAATAGCCCTTAGGTTTGATTTCTGTTTCACACTGGATGGCCTCTGTAACGAGGCAACTATATTATAACCCCTGCCATATGCTGATGTTTTCCGAGCTGGTTTCTGGAAAAGACAAGAGACACACACTTGCTGAATGTGGGCGTTGTTAGGCCCGCTGACAAACTCCTCCAGCTCCGAGAGACGGTTTGTTTTCGCCAAGGCAAAGATCAGCTCCGTCTCGACGTAAGACTCCCTTGCTTTCTTGCGCGCCATCAGCAGGAACTTCACCAGATCTTCCCAGTTATCTGAAATTCACAGAAAAGGTCAAAAGGAAAAAAAAAATCATATTAAAATAATGAAAAAAACAACAACTTTGGGCTAATATGTCAAGATTTCTCTGAAAACGTTCTACGTTTCAGGAGGGGAAAGACCCAAAGGATTGTCTCCTTGAGGCTCAGCTGTAGTGGGGTGCAGGTTACACACAATGCAGAGCTCACAGCCCTCTGACTCTACAAAGCCTTTTAAGGGAGCTTTGCAAAACCCCTTCCTTACCGTTTTTGCTGGCAGCTTTGACCACTTCCATGTACGCAGAAGGATCGTCCGCTTTGATGTAGGAGTCTATAGCTTCCTTCACCATGTCCTTCTGGAGCTGGGCTCTGGCGAGCTGGCTCCACACAGCCGGCTCATTGCAGCGCTCGGCAAACTCATAGGCCCGGTCCAGATTCCCAATGTGCTCGATTAACACCTGTATAAGAAAAGAGACCAGCATCGTGCTGCCCTTCATTGTCTACATCAGGGGTGTCCAAACCAAGGCCGCAGACCAGTTGCGGCCTGCCACCGTTACTGAAACGGCCCGCGAGTTTATTTAGAACTATAATTAGATTTGGCCCGATATTACGTGAAAAATGCAGTTCCTATTTTGAACACAAGGTGCCTCCATTCCCGTAAAATCACATCTCAAAACTGATTAGCTACCCCCTCTCCTCCTCTTTACCCTCTTTTAACTAAACTTTTTATTCTGTACATTAACGTAAGCAAGCTTTTCAAAATGGCGGAACCAAAGAAACGAAAAATTGCAAGAGATTCCAGCCACGCTGGCAAAATGAACACTTTTTCACTGTGTTCAGAGGCAAGTGTGTCTGTGATGTGCTCCGAATCTCCACAACAACACTAACACCTGACTTGACAGCTATTCTTCAGTCTGAGGCACAGCATCACTGCTCCCATTAGTAGAGTCATCACTAGTGAGTAACATTTGTGAAATTTTACAGGTATATTAAAATTAGATAATATAATTATTTTTATAGGTCATTTCAAGCTTACAGTACAAAATGCTTAAAACTCACCTATTAGGGTAATCCTCTAAATTAAAAGGCAGTTTTGGTTATTGCAATGTACTTATATCTGGTATGTTTTTTTAATTTTTTCTTATAAGAGATAGCCTGTGGCCCGCCATTCCATATTCCATATCTGGCCCCCAATAAAAAAAAGTTTGGACACCCCTGGTCTAAATGCTCTACGTGTTATTGAATGTAACGTCTACCCACTGCGCCTACATCATAACGAAAGGCTTACAAGCTTAACCTTTGTGAATTGCTTATGCAAGTTTTTTTACCATGAAAGAAAATGCTCAAATTGAGGCAAACATATCAACTTCCCCTTTTACAGAAATGTCCGTGTTAAACTGTGTTAAGTTAAATGACATTTAAAGACATAAGAGATATTTGACTGGAGCTGAAACATATAATAATAAAAGTAAAGACAAGTAATTATAAATATATGAACATTCAAAGGTGTTCAATGATTGCAATAAGCAGTACTAATTAAAAAAAACATGATAAAATAAAAAAATACCAAAAATGAAAACTATCTGACAGAGATGGGAGATAAATCACTCATACAATTCACAAGGCTGGCTACAGCTCACAGCAGCCAGTACACAGCACAGCACAGCACAAAGAGTGCAACTAACTCTGCACAGGATGGAGAGCAGGCCTGCCAATATACACACTGCCTGACGTGCTTTCTGACACAAAAAGTCCTTATGCCTACCCAAAGAAGGACATATTAGGACATATTTTTACTAATGCTTTAACACAAATACATTTGTATTAATAGAAAGTTCATAAATGGAGCATGTGCAGGGCATTTTACCAATTTTTTTTCGGAATGTTACAAAACAACCCGCCCCCTGTACCGATTACTGTGCAGTAGAAATATTCATATTACATTGTGTGGTCAACAATCCGCTGGACTGTAACGTCAGCGAGCTGGTGTCGGGGGACTGTCCACTGGATGCTACAGATTATACTGTCTGGTTCCTGACCGATCCAGAGTTCCATATTTCTCTTAATTCATAGTACATATACCTGGATTGCTGAAGTGTTGACGTCAAACTTCCTAAAGATGGCGAAGGCCTCCTCGAAGAGCTCGTTGCTGATGGCGATGTTGGCAATATCAGGCGCGTCGTAGTTGTCCAGGCGGTTGATGTACTCCATTACTCTGGTACGATCAGCTTTAATGGCCGTCAGGATCAGTAGATTCTGCAGGTTTCTGTTCGTAGATACAAAAACGGTACAACAAGCCGAGGTCACACATCATACCGAATGGTTACATCCAACAGAGATGTTTAATTTCCTCCTGAATCCGTTCTATTACATGTCATGTCGTGTTGTACATGCTGGATAATGAAAGAAGAGCACACAAACCTGATCAGCAGTCTACATTGGCAACGGAGAGAAAGTGAATCTAGATACGTCTCTGCATGTTGTCTGTGATCAGATATTAAAATATGGATTAATTTTTAGGTTAACACTATATCAGGTGTTTAATGTTAGGCAACCCCCTTATCTTAATGAAAGATTTGAAGATGGTCATTTGGTGAAAACCATCACTTACTTTATTTCAAATAGCTGAGAAGCCTGTCTGTGTGCCTACACTAGAAGTTGTCGATTTTTTTAACCACATGGCCATTCGTGAGCACTTAAAAACTGTTAAATGGGTTATTTGGCAGCAAAAATGACAAAGCAGATGGCTCAGTTTTCCTAAGCATGCATGTTGACTCCAGCTTATAAATGTTAACATCTGTTAAATCTGCACAGGCTTCCCTTCCCAATTTACGATATACAAGCACGTAAACGAATATTAATCGAATTGAGAAATTTATAAAAACCAAGGAGAAAACTTCCAGTCTTATAAAAGTACACTTCCATTGAATTTTGTGTTGCACATTTTATGATAAATGTGGGTTCTAGGTGCAACACTGCTGTTGTGCAAGATACATGACCATTATTGTTATAGCGATATACCCAGCTGTGTAAATATAAGTTGCAAATACTCAATGTAAATTGCTTTGGTAAAAGGCATCAGCCAATAAATATTAAATAGGTACAAAACACACATGACAGCACTTCCATTTCAGAAGGATAATTTGAATGAGGAGGGCTGTGTTTGTCCCAGCATTCTCACTATCTAGAACACGGAATGCCTTTAGGAAGAGGGACGGAAAAGTCTTGCGGAATTCCAGCGCAGAGGCTGGGAGTCTCACCGGTGCTCGCTGAAGACTGAGTTATCCAGCACGATCTTCTCCAGCAGTTCTATCAGCTCATTGGGCAGGTCAGCGGTCATGAAGGCCTTCACGGTCACTGACACTTCCTCGGGGTCCTGCGTTTCTGACAGCGCAGTCTGTACCACCTGCTTTCGTTCCACCAGAAAACAGAAGCAAAAATCAACAGATTCATAAAACCACACAGCGACCCTGAATCAAAACCCTGTTAAAGGGAAATGATCAGACTGGTTACTAAACCTTGGTAACACAATAAATGCATTGACATTGTAGAACAAAATGACAAATTTCGAATTAAGCACAAAATCGTGAACGTTTTGCAAGTAGAGGAAGTCGCCAGGTTGTTGCAAACTCACATTCGAGTTCCCACAAACTGTGACATGATTCAGCCCCTCCTCCTCACTAGTCTCCATAATGACTAACGTAATGCGATCTACAAGCATATAAATACAAGCTGTGCTGCAGACGTTTCATCGCAGAAATATTCTGTGGTGATCTGCATGAAGAGTTAACAAGTAGTAATCTTTGGCAAAACCATGTTGAAATCGAAAGCAATATTTTTATGGGATTAAGAGATGTATTCACACGCCTGCTTGTTTACAGTGTAATAGGGCCACACACGTCTGCCAGTTTTGTTGCCTTGTTCTGAATCGCAGAACATGCTGCTGTGCAACTCTAGAAATTTCATCTATTTTTTAGTGTATTGTTACTGTGTACATTTGATTTTTATTGAGGTTTGCATTCATCAATGCTGATTCTTTCTACTAGTGTTGCGGTGTCTCTTTAATAGTGATTTGTTTTGCAGGAAAATCAGCTGACTATGCTGGGACTCGACATTCAACTCTCATTTTCTACTCTCTTGATAAAATGCTGGCAAACAGAATAAACGGGGAAGAACCATATGAGCACTGTGAACATTAACTTCAAGTGTATTGCCTGGTCAATCAGTTGCCTCCTGTAGGGGTTGTTCTCCTCCAGGACGCTGGCCCAGAGCTCAGGGTCTTTCCTGCGCACCAGGTAACGAGACTCGCTCTTGAACAGGGAGTTCTCGTTGCAAACCTAGAAGGAAAACATTTCATTAAGGCACTGCACCCTCTGATGGGAGCAGGTCCCCCTGAAAGCACAGAAACACAGGAATGGGAGGCATGAAGCAAAACGCACTGAAAAATGTCTCTGAACCTTCAAGGGGCTTCGGATACACATGCCTCAGTTTAATAGCACTGAAACTCCATTACACATTTCATTACTTTCATTCAAGACAAGCGAGATCTTGGTTTCCACACGATAAGGAGTGAAGGATTACTTTAATAAGCTCCATGTCGCACTGTCCTCTTTCGTAGGCCACGCAAGCCAAGTGGGGGTCTCTCTTCTCACAGTACTTCCCCACCACCCTGCTGTCGTAGAAGGGGTTCTCGCGCAGGAAGCGCTCGGGGTTGTTATTGCTGTCGATGTAGATTTTGGCGAGGGCGTTGTGCGTAGCCGGCTCCTCACAGCCCTCGTGGATTCTCGATTCCAGCCAGGGCAGCAACAGTTTCAGCCTACAAAGGCGGGGGGAAAAAACACAGGCATGAGCACCCGACACTACACACTGTTCCCTAATTAAAGAACTGATCTGGAGATGTCTCGCAAAGCTGCACGGAATCATACTGAGCTGTGTAGGAAAGACCGCCAACGTCAGGCACATAACATTCTGCAGTTCAAAAATATATACAGGCAGTTCCAGTCTTGGGCTCTGTCGCATTCTTTCGTTCTTTATCTCTGTTCTTGCTTTATTTGCACATTACACACTACAGTTTCTGAACAGAAAAAAATCACCACGGAACGCAAACGTGTCCAAAGGTATAGAGTAATGTAAACACTACTCTTCTGACCAGGTCCTGAGAAATAGGACAGTAAGAACCAGCTTGTTACTTTAGATGGGTTCTGCCAAAATGAAAGCAACCTTCAGCTGCACAAAGAGGAGGGCCCTTGGACCGGGCTGTACCTGTTTCTCTTCTCCACTTCTGCTACCAGTTCATCAGTGGAGAACTGTCCCCGCACCACCATGATGAGGTTTTTAATGACGTCTTCAGAGCAATCCACGTCAAGCAGGCCTCCGATGACAACTGGGAGCCGGCTGGGGTTAACCTGCAAAATCAGGGGCTTGGTTCAGTGGTTCCAGTCCGCTCTGCTGGCGTCGCTGCTGCTGCTGCCCGGACAGACAGAGCTTTAGAGCAACCCAGCCTGGTCAAGCGCTGCAATGAAATATTTTAACTACGGGACAAGAAAAGACTGCACAGCCTTGATTCTCCCCCAGTTATCACCAATTTCTCTAGTATGAAAATCTTTCTCCAGATCATGAGTTGCTACAGATGAAAATACAAACATGGTCAAATGTGATAAAATAATAACTGGCAAATCAGTTTTAGAAGTGCACATCTGATCTCATGAATTTGAAATTAATAATGAATTACACATTTCAGTGCTCCTGTCATTTAAGGATCATTTCCTCTAATAATGAAGTCACCAGTTTAATAAGTCACATTAGTACTCAGCTGCATGGAAAAGACAGCACCCCTGTAAATGGATGTATGTTAAACCATTACCTTCTGTACATATATTTCAATGTACTTCTGCAAGCTGTTGCGATATAAGTACAGCACCAGGTCATGGACGAAATCAAATCGATCACAGACAATAATTAAAGGCAGCTGGTCCGTCAATTTGGCTTCCTGCAGGAAATAACAAAAACCAGATGAACAGATGCAAATATATTAGTGTACGGAAAGATTAATAATCATATAATCAAATAAAAATGCATTAGTACTGCTGAGCGTATACATATGTTCGCCCTGTTTAGCCTGATTTGACAAACAGGGATTTACAAAGTGCACATTTCTATCTCAAACAGAGTCATTTATGTAACTGGAAATGCTAGCAAAACCAAAGCTTGCCAGCTTGGATCATCATAACCTTAGCTTTTCGTTCCCACGACACATGCCACTTGCTTTTGGCAGGAAACCTAAAAGCACTGCAGATCTATGGCTGACGGAATAATTATGCTCTTTAAATTTTTGAGCTAACTTGATGGGTTCAGATCTTTAGAGCATCCTTGTGTTTATAATGGAAACATATACATGTTAATATATACTGGCTAAGTGGTCCCACTAATGTGTTGGGTCTGACCACATGCATACACACAGTCGAAGCAAATTCAGGACACAGTACCTTTAGGAAGTTCTTCACACGATCAGGGTCATAACAATTGCTTTCACGACAGATGCGCTCCACCTCCTTAATCTGCCCTGTTTTGCAGGCTGCTTGGATGTACTTGAAATGAACGTCAGGGTCTTGACTGAAGTTTACAATAGATCCCAGGAAATAGAAAAGCCCTGCAATTAAAGAAACCAGAAATGGCAACCATCCATTTCTTAAAAGGATTGTTTAAATGATTGTACGTAACTTAAAGGCCTCTAACAAAACATCCAAGTCTTCTTTAGTTTGTAGAAAACTATTAAGAACACATAGTCTTTTAAATCCATCTCCAAAGTTCATTAGTGGGGACTACTGAACTGGAAGAAAAGCTGGAGTGAAATTAAATATTGCAAGGCTTTAGATTTACAAATTATTGCGAAACCTCAAGGAATTAGTCGCTTACACCCATGTGCACAATGAAAGAGAACTTCCTGTGGGAATGAAAAAAAACACTGGCTTTCTAGCGACAATGCGCTTAACCCTTTTCCAAGGGGATTTCCGGCCCTGTGCGGCAGCAGGCACCCACCTTCATAGCTCTTGAAAGACTCGAAGAGTTCCACCAGCGCCTGCGTGCCCAGCTGCTCGTGGTATTTGGACGCCACCTGTACGCACAGCTGCAGGTTCTGCCTGATGTTGGCCGACAGCATCGCTCGCAGGCACTCCACGGAGTCCTCCACCGACAGCGAGCCGAAGAAGTTCACCAGCCACTGAAAGACATGGCTCTCTTGTTAGCCGTGCATTCGGAAAACCGCAAAAACGCAAACTAAACAACAACTGCAAATGAGAAAACCCTAGCCCTGCTTGCCAGACAAAAACAACAAACGTCCCATGTTGTCTCACTTAGCCTCGAGCGAGGCTAACCTCAAGTTCTGTTGGGTCTCTTCCGGAATGATTTACAGAAGGAGGAGTGCTCATTCACATACGGACCTCTTCAAAGTTCCTGACCCTTGACCCGATCGATACAAAATGAGATTTTTTTGTATCGGGGCGGAGCGGTGGCACTGTGGCTAAGGATCTGCGTCTGTGGCTGGGAGGTTGCTGGTTCGTATCCCGCGGCCGGCAGAGGAATCCCACTCCGTTGGGCCCCTGAGCAAGGCCCTGAACCCCAACTGCTCCAGGGGTGCTGTACAATGGCTGACCCTGCGCTCTGACCCCAAGCTTCTCTCCCTGTCTGTGTGTCTGTGTGTCTCATGGAGAGCAAGCTGGGGTCTGCGAAAAGACAAATTCCTAATGCAAGAAATTATATATGGCCAATAAAGTGATCTTATCTTATCTTACATGCACCCAGCACTGAACTGACCTGACAGATGCTAACTGCTGCTTCATGGGCTGACAAGTAGGAATTGCCTGTAGAATCTCGCCACCGAGATGACTAATCTTATCTTTATTGATGAAACGATCCTGAGGTGGAGGTTGGTGTACACTAGAGATGGCCAGGATTTCAGACACTCTGCGTTTTTACCTCGGGGTTCAGCAGGTGCGTGTGGACCACAGCGCGCTTAATGTCATATAGGTCAGTGTAGTGCTCCAGCGCCCTCTGCAGGAGCCCCGCCTTCTCGCACAGCTGGGCGATGTGGGCGCGGTCGTAGTGTGTAAACATCGAGTTCCCAAGGATGGCGTCGGCAACCTTTGAGAAGCAAAGCACAGCTCAAAGAAATGCAGCAAAAAACTCAATTCAAGCCGAAATGAAGATTTCAAGGAATACGCCAAACAATGTTCAACAAGCTGATGTAGCTCTGATTCTCCTGTTCAGGCTACTCTGGACTTTAGAAATGTTTCCACTTGAGGGAAGTTGTGGTTTACAGATAATATTTATTATTATGGGTCAATAATAATAATTCCTTACACTTATATAGCGCTTTTCTGGATGCGCCACTCAAAACGCTTTACAGGTAATGGGGATCCCCTCCACCACCACCAGTGTGCAGCCCCACCTGGATGATGTGACGGCAGCCAGAGTGGGCCAGAACGCTCCCCACACACCAGCTCTCAGTAGGGAAAACACAGTAATGAAGCAATTTTATATTATTAATGGGGATTATTAGGAGGCCATGATTCACAAAGGCCGGAACACCGGAGTTATACCCCTACTATTTATGAGAAAGACTCTGGGATCTTAAATGACCACAGAGAGTCAGGACCTCCGTTTTACATCTCATCCTAAGTAAGATGCCTTTTTACAATATAGTGTCCCTTTCAGTATACTGAGCCATCAGGACCCACACAGCCCTGCAGGGTGAGCGCCCCCTACTGGTCCCGCTAACACCTCTTCCAGGAGCAGCCTTAGCTTTCCCTGGAGGTCTCCCACCTGGGTATTGCCCAGGCTCACACCTGCTGAGCTTCAGTGAGCTGCAGGGTGATAAACACATGCAAGATGTGCTTAATTTCTTGATAAACCCATTAGAACACACATCTGAATGGCGACTGGTGACCTGCCTGTGGGGCGTGGATGAGGTTCATTTCTAGGAGCCGGGTCTGCAGGTGGCCCTCTGACGGACGGTTGTTTTTCAGGGCGTCTAACAGAAAGGAGGTGCACTGCTGGATCAGGTTATTCTCCATGAACACGTCCACAATCTGGAAGAAACTGAATGCTTTCAAAAAGAAGTCCCGAAAACCCCCTAGAGCCAGGAGCGAACTCCTCCAGTGCATTGTGGTGCATCACAAAAAGTCTAAAAAATAAAATCTGGTTACTTAACATAACATAAGGTGCCTGCAGATGAAACAAAATGTCCCACAAACAAAATTAATCTCTATAAAATATACCCCCAAAAAATCACAAACGCACTCATCCAATATCTTATGTTTACAAAATTCCTTTACTTAGGTCTCAACAAATTTTAAAAACAGGTCGAACTACATTGAAGCCCACCCAGGAGGGTCTGAAAGTACTAACAAACATTTGAAGCTTCGTGTTAAGGACTTAAAAATAGAAAAATAACTCCTCATCATAATATTAAGTATATACTGTAGTTTCAGAAAGAAACAGAAAAATGCTTAGAATTTCACACACTTTTTCACTGACGAGAAACACATTTCTAGGGGGGAAATAAACCAACAATGTCCCCTGGCAGGGAAACGGAAGACCACGCGTCAGCAAATACTTCACATTACTCTCCCATCTGTGAAAACAGCCTGGACTCCCAGCGGGACCCAGCCGAGACCCCAGCCAGAGGCGGCGGCGCAGTCTTCACCTGACTGATGTTGGCCAGTGGCTCCTCGTCCTGGACCAGCATCTGAGAGAACTGCAGGCCCTGCTCCGGGCTCACCCGCATGACGTTTCTCAGCAGGAACACCCAGTCTGGAGTGTAGCCAACCTGCCGCAAAAAACAAGGTGAAGCTTCTATCACGC